ATAGACCCCTGCTCTGCCTGGGAGACCCCCCGCTCTGGCTGGGAGACCCCCGCTCTGCCTGGGAGACCCCTATTCTGCCTGGGAGACCCCTACTCTGCCTGGGAGACCCCTGCTCTGGCTGGGAGACCCCTGCTCTGCCTGGGAGACCCCTATTCTGCCTGGGAGACCCCTACTCTGCCTGGGAGACCCCTGCTCTGGCTGGGAGACCCCTACTCTGCCTGGGAGACCCCTGCTCTGGCTGGGAGACCCCTGCTCTGCCTGGGAGACCCCTACTCTGGCTGGGAGACCCCTGCTCTGGCTGGGAGACCCCTACTCTGGCTGGGAGACCCCTGTTCTGCCTGGGAGACCCCTACTCTGCCTGGGAGACCCCTGCTCTGCCTGGGAGACCCCTACTCTGGCTGGGAGACCCCTGCTCTCTGGCTGGGAGACCCCTGCTCTGGCTGGGAGACCCCTGCTCTGCCTGGGAGACCCCTACTCTGGCTGGGAGACCCCTGCTCTCTGGCTGGGAGACCCCTGCTCGCACTAAAAGGAGTAGCACAGAATTTGCAGCCATCTTTTTATTTTTATTTTTTTGAGACGGAGTTTCGCTCTTGTTACCCAGGCTGGAGTGCAATGGCGCGATCTCGGCTCACCGCAACCTCCGCCTCCTGGGTTCAGGTAATTCTCCTGCCTCAGCCCCCTGAGTAGCTGGGATTACAGGCACACGCCACCATGCCCATCTAATTTTTGTATTTTTAGTAGAGACGGGGTTTCACCATGTTGACCAGGATGGTCTCGATCTCCTGACCTCGTGATCCACCCGCCTCGGCCTCCCAAAGTGCTGGGATTACAGGCTTGAGCCACCGCGCCCGGCTGCAGCCGTCTTTAATCTGCCTCCGTGTAAGATCCATTACGCACATACACATACTCCGTCAACACAAAGCTTTCCCCTCTACAAAAATATCACGACCATGCCGCATCTTCAGTAGTCTGCAAACAGAGAACGGTGTGCCATTTATTACACATACCGTGTACAACTTTAACTTTGTAAATATTTAATGGTGATAAGACTTAAAATTTCCTCAAGTTTTATTAGTCTTTGACTCATATATGTGTATTTTATGACAAACATTCTAAGTTGCATGGAGCACACAGTATGCTTTTAATGACGTAGAATCTCAGGAGGATAAAGAGTAGTTTATTAATGCCCAGAGGACCATTCCGGTCTAATACCTTTGAATTACTAAAGTCACAGAAGTTATGTTGCCTTGTTTTATGAACATAATTTCAGCCACATGGTAAAGTACAGCTTTGTACGGGTGTTCTCCCCAGTCTGGTCCACTGACATGTAAGAAATTCAACTCCAGGGTCATGGAGACAAGAGGCAAAGGACCTAATAAAACCACATTAACCATCAATGTTCATTTACCAAATCTCGCTCCAACTCTTGTACCCTCAAAGTTAATTTCATCCAACTGCCTTTTCATTATAGCCTCTTGTTCAGAGTTGCAAATATAATGGCTTTTTAATATGACTCGCAGTGTTCTGTGTCCAACATGGGATGTACTCAGGAATGCATTCAGTCAGCCAGTGCATTTGGTGATTAAAACACAAGCACACACACATTCCTCCACGTGCACGTCCCCAGCAAAAAAGACCTGAGAAAGCTTTGTCAAGAATATAAGAATCTGACAAATTTGCTTTTGGATACAATTCTGTAAATCCTGTGTCCACAAATGTATATTGTAGCTACGACAAAATACAGAAGACAGAGTTGTGCACCTATCACAGGGTATAAAATAAACAAAACTGATTTGGACTAGGAATGCAAGTGGTATCCCTATCTAATACAGTCTTGGTAGATAGTTATAATTCTTCATACTGGTGAGTTCTTCATTATTCAAGATGCTGGAAGCTGAAGAAACCTCAGTCCCCTGTCTCTTACAGAGAAGAAAGGTAGAAAAGAACCATAATGAGATCTAAGACATTTCCGCTTACATATTAATAAAGATAACCAAACAAAATAATTTAAGAACTCTTAGTGGTGATTACTTTTGGAAAGCAGAAATAGATGTGTGCCTGTGTTATGTGTACATGCACACAAAAACGTATTTTTTTCTTTTAATGAGAATAGATTAATCTATTAAAGTTGTTCACCTTTATTTCAGAGTAATTGTATTTTATACAAAAATGAGTACCACTTTTCTTATTGGCCATTTTGAGCTGTATTTCAAATTTAATTTTGATAATTTTTTCTTTTTTGAGATGGAGTCTTGTTTTATCCCCCAGGCTGGAGTGCAGCAGTGCAATCTCAGCTCACTGCAACCTCTGCCGCCAGGTTCAAGCAATTCTCCTGCCTCAGCCTCCCGAGTAGCTGGAACTACAGGTGCCTGCCACAATGTCAGGCTGTTTTTTGTATTTTTAGTAGAGACAGGGTTTCATCATCTTGGTCAGGCTAGTCTTGAACTTCTGACTTGTGATCCGCCCACCTCGGCCTCCCCAAGTGCTGGGATTACAGGCGTGAGCCACCGTCCCCGGCTGATAATTTTGTTAAAAGTAATTCTTAAGGCATATTAAGCTCCATTTTTACACATTTATTCATTCTCTAATTTACTAAGTGCTTACTGTTGCCTCTATTAGTGACCCCAAGAAAGCGATGAACTCTGCCTTAAGATGTTCAGTTGGTTAATCAGTTCTCTTTCCTTACACCAATTATTGTCTATCAGAAAAAGAAACCACGAAAACAATCCCATTTAGAATAGAATCCAAAAGAATAAAATAATTAAGAATAAACGGAACAGAGGAAGGGAAAGATATATATGTCAAAACGTGTCAACATTGCTGAAGAAGCTGAAGACACAAATAAATGTAATGATATCCCATGTTCATGGATGGGAAGAATATTGTTAAAATGTCCACATCACCTAAAGCAATCTACAGATTCCACACAATTCCTATCAAAATACCAATCTTTTTATTTACTTTTTTCTCGTTTCTTTTTTTTTTTTTCCTTAAGAGATGGGGTCTCACCCTATTGCCCAGGCTGGAGAGCAGTGGCAGAATCACAGCTCATTGTAACCTTGAAGTCCTGGGTTCAAGCAATCCTCCTGGTTCAACCTCTTAAAGTACTGGGATTAAAGGTGTTAGCTACCATGCTTGGACAGAAGATGCAATTCTATGATTTGTTTAGAACCACTAAAGACCCTGAAGAGCCAAAAACATTTTTATAAAGAAAAATAAAGTTGGCATCGCTTTTCCTTATTTCAAATTATATTACAAAGCTATAGTAATCAAAATATTACAGTACTAGCATAAAAACACAGACACAGACCAAAGGAACAGCATAGAGAACCCAGAAATGAATCCAAGCACATACAAGAATTTTCAACAAGGCCAAGAAAAAGACGCAAGGGGGGAAAGTTACTCTTCCATAAATGGTATTGGGAAAACTGCATATTCACATGCAAAATGAAACTGGACTATTACTTACACCATACACACAAAAATCAACTCGAAGCAAAGATTAACAAGGGGGCTACCTCTTCTGCATGCAAACAAAACATTAGCAAAATGAAAAGGCAGCCTACGGATTGGGAGAAAATATTTGCAAACCAAATATCTGATAGGGGTTAAGAGTGAAAAAACACAAGGAACCCACACCACTCACCACAAAAAAAAACCCTTGATTTAAAAAATGGGCAAAGGGTCAGGTGGGATTCCTCGCACATGGAATCCCAGTACTTTGGGAGGCTGAGGAGGATTGCTTGAGGTCAGGAGTTCAAGATTAGCCTGAACAACATAGTGAGACCGTCTCTTAAAAAAGAAAAAATCAGCAACAGACTTGAATAGACACAGCTCAAAAGACATACAGGTATATGAAAAGGTGTTCAGCTGCCCTAATCATCAGAGAAATGCAAAGCAAAACCACGATGAAATCCTGCCTCACACCTGTTGGAATGGCACTGCCCAAGAGACAAAAAATAACCAGTGTGGACAAAGAAGTGGAGGGAAGCGAATTCTTGCACACTGTTGGTGGGAAACAGTACGGAAATTCCTCAGAACACTAAAAGCAGGACTATCGTATGACCCAGAATTCCCCTTCTGGGCATATATGCAGAGGAAATGAGGTCACCACCGCATGCAAATGCCTGCACGTCCATCTTCACTGCAGCGTTCTTCACAATGGCCAGGACATGAAGCAATGCGCGCGTCCACGCAGAGACGAATAAGGCAGTCATGGAGCACATACGCACACGGAGTATCATTCAGGCTTTAGAAAGGAGATACTGCCTTTGCTACATCATGGGCAAACTTGGAGGGAGAAACCAAATGCAGAAAGAAAAATATTACGTAATCTCACTGACAAGTGGACACTTAAAAAAAAAAAGGCAAATACACAGAAACAGAGCTGAAATGGTAATGGCCCGGAATGCAGAGGTAGCAGAGGAAGAAATGAGCAGACAGAGGGTATAAACGTGCAGTTAGCGCCGGTCTAGAAACGTCAGGCACAGCATGAAGGTAAGTTAATCATGTAGTGTTCATTACTCAAAATTTGCTGAGTAGATTTTAGGTGCTCTTACTACACACACAAAAGATAACTGAAAAAGGACGATGGGTTAATTTTCTTGACAGCTGTCATACAAAACAGCACCCCCATCCTTTTTAAAAAAAATTTTGTCGCCCAGCCTTGAGTGCAGTGGCGTGATCTTGGCTCACTGCAAGGTTCAAGTGACTCTCCTGCCTCAGCCTCCTGAGTAGCTGGGATTACAGGCACGCTCCACCACACCTGGCTAAGTTTTGTATTTTTAGTAGAGACAGGGTTTCACCATGTTGGCCAGGCTGGTCTCGAACTCCTGACCTCAGGTGATCCTCCCACCTTCACCTCCCAAAGTGCTGGGATTACAGGCATGAGTCACCGCGTTCAGCCCAGCACATACATCTTAACATGGTAAGAAACTAAAATGATCTTATTTATGCAAGATTCTGTTTGCTGTTTAAGGACCACAAAGCCGAATGCCAGCTTGAAAACAGGAAAATATTTATTCATTTGTCAGGATTTGGGGTTTGTCAAACGCCAGTGTCTGGAAACGTGAAAAGCTGGATGAACCGAGACTTTTTTTCAGTTTTCTGTGGGTGTCCAGGCATCTTGTGTTGGCTCTGATTTAAAAGACAAACGTGGAGAGCCTATTTTCTTCCTGAACCATGAACAGAGGATTTCAAGTGACGTATCCTCATTAGCTAAACTTTTCCCTTTTCTTTCTTCCACTGCATCCACATGCTCTCTTCGTCTTCCATTCTTAGTTTTAGTGTTCCTCTTCAGAAGAAAATTAACAACAAAAACAGCTAGAACCTCTTCGTCGCCAGGTTTCGCCATGGCCAGGGGCCCCAAGAAGCACCTGAAACCTGCTGCAGCGCCGAAGCACTGGATGCCCGACAAACTGCAGGTATCTGCCCCTCGTCCAGGTCTCCACCAGCTGAGGGAACAGACTCAAGCACACGCTGACTGGAGATGAGGTAAAGATATGTATGTGTGCAACACTTCATCAGAACCGATGGCCAGGTTCGAGTGGACGGCACACACCCTTCTGGATTCCTGGATGTCATCCGCATGGAGCAGACGGGTGAGCATTTCCGCCTGGCCCATGACACCAACAGCCGTTTAGCCAGTCACCGCCGCCACGGAGGAAGATTACTGTGGGGATGAAGGGAATTCCACACCCGCGACCCACGATGAGGGAACCGTCTGCATGCAGATCCCCGCCAGGGCGAATGGTACTGTGCAGGTTCAGGGACGGGCAAGAGAATCAACTATGAAATTCAACACGGGCACTGGGTGTGTGGTGACTGCCTGTGTGATCAGCAACAGGGAAAGACAGGCTGGTTCCTCCAGGGTGGTGCATCTGAAGGGCGACGGTGGCAACAGCTTCGCCACGAGCCTTTCCAGCATTTTTGTCACTGGCAATGGCAATACACCTTGGATTTCCCTGTGCGGGGCAAAGGCCATCCAGCTTATCTTGCTGAAGGGAGAGGCTGACCACCAAACGGAGCAGTGGCTCAACTGCCGTAGCATCTTGCTTCTTCGCACAAATAAACACTGAATTCTCGTCTAAAAATAAGGAAGAGCCGGGGAGCTAGCCGAGCAGCATCCTGTTCCTCAGTCGGGATATCCTAAGCAAGGCTGGGGGTCCAGACAGAAGCATTTTCTGGTTGCTGTTCCTTGCACATTTAAGCTTTAGACTCGTTAACACTGAGTTTTGGACCCTTCAGCTCTACAAAAGAGCCGAACAGGAACAGGGGTGGGGAGACCAGCTCCCGCTGCGTAGTGGCTGGTCTGCCTTTTAGAAACGTTCAGTTCAGGGCCGGGCATGGTGGCTCACGCCTGTAATCCCAGCACTTTGGGAGGCCGAGGCGGGTGGATCACGAGGTCAAGAGATCGAGACCATCCTGGTCAACATGGTGAAACCCCGTCTCTACTAAAAATACAAAAAATTAGCTGGGCACAGTGGCGCATCTGTAATCCCAGCTACTCGGGAGGCTGAGGCAGGAGAATTGCCTGAACCCAGGAGGTGGAGGTTGCTGGGAGCCGAGATCGCGCCATTGCACTCCAGCCTGGGTAACAAGCAAAACTCCGTCTCAAAAGAAAAAAAAAAACAAAAACATTCAATTCAGGAAGAAAAGTCTCCAGCCCCCTTGGTGTTCGGCACCTCAGCTCTCGGGCTTGCGTCTTCCGTTTCCTCAGCAATGTTGACACTTTTTGACATATGTATCCTTCACCTCCCCTGTTCCAATGGGTTCTATTCTAAATGGGATTGTTTCCTTGGTTTCTTTTTCTGATAGACAGTAAGTGGTGTAAAGGAGAACTGTTGAACAAACTGAACATCTCACTTTCCTGGGGTCACTAACAGAGGCAGCAGTAAGCACTTAGTAAACTAGGGAATGAATAAATGTGTAAAAATGGAGCTTAATATGCCTTAAACATTACTTTTAATAAAATTATCAAAATTAAGTTCAAATACAGCTCAAAATGGCCAATAAGAAGTGTTACTCATTTTGGTATAAAATGATTACTCTGAAATAAAGGTGAACAACTTTAACAAATCAACATATTCTCATTAAAAGAAAAACGTGTTTGTGTGTGCGTATACATATAACACAGGCATATATCTATTCCTGCTTTCCAGAGTAATCACCACTGACTTCCTCTGGTCTTGAGGGCTTCTGTCTACCCTTCTTCAGAGGTCTCTGTCCTAATCCATCAAGTAGAAATCCATAGAAGAGCAAATCAAACACAATGCTACCAAGACCGAGAATTCGCTCTATCATCCTGATCAAATACCAAATTTCCATCCTAAGTTCTATGCTTAGGTGTTTGATTTGGAGGAAATTCCTGAATTACACATGGATTATGTACCCAGTGTTCCTGTTAGTGACTCAGTACCCACATTTCTATGATACTAGACATTCTATACCAAATGAAGAAATAATTTCAGCTGGGTACGGTGGCTCCTGCCTTAATCCCAGCCTTTTGGGAAGCCAAGGGGGGGCAGATCGTGAAGTCAGGAGTTCAAGACCATCCTGACTAACGTGGAAAAACCCCATCTCTACTAAAAATGCAACAGATTAGCTGGGCATGGTGGCAGGTGCCTTACATTCCAGCTACTCAGGAGGCGGAGGCAGGAGAATTGCTTGAACCCAGGAGGCAGAGGTTGCAGTGAGCCACGATCACGCCACTGCACTCCAGCCTGGGCAACAGAGCGAGACTCTGTCTCAAAAAAATAAATAAATAAATAAAAAATAATTTCCATAGTCCACAGTAACAATCAGCTCATACTGTTGTCAAAATGTTGTTTTAAAGCCAGCATTTGTTTTAGATTTTGGCATTTTAAAAATCAAGTTTAATACATTTACTTAGTGGAGTATTGTTATTTCCTGAGTCATTAAATTAATGGTACTCTTGGTATCGCCTCCAGTGTGTCTTAAATCTTAAAATCAAAGAAATATGGTTATTTTAATTATACCTGATTATCACGTTAATTCTGGGGGAAAGATCCATTTCGAGTTTGATGGCTGCCTATTTTTGGTCACTATGCGATGATTCCAATCAGGGATTTACTTAATGATGATAAAAACCAGTTAATTCCTACCTTGGACTTTATTTTTATCAGCTCCCTTCAGTTTCTCCCCTTATCCACCTGCAACCACTTTCTCTGAATTTCATTCCACAGCAAGCAAACACACCACGTCCCGTCTCATCTATTAGTAACAAGAAATGTCCCCCAGCTGCGGCCCGCTCCCTGAAGGAGACTTGCACATTTTCTGTTGGACGGAAGTAGTATGCATCATGCAGCTTGTTTCCCCTTCATGGACATTTAAATTGTGGGTTCGTTACTATTAAAAACCCGAATCGGTTAATATCCTTGAAGAATCCCTTGGCACATTAGTGCGAATAACTCTTGGCATGTGACGTTTATTGAAGGTAGGGTCCTTACAGAGGTCAAGTTAACATGAGGTCATCAGCGTGGGTGCTAATCCCGTGAGTGTTGTCCTTGCAAGAGGACGTTTGGGCACAGGCACAGAGGGAAGGGATGTGGGGTAAAGGGTGAATGCCACGTGAACATGAGACAGTCACCGAAAGCCGAAGAGCGAGGCCCGGGCAGCCCTTCCCTCCCGGCCTCGGAAGGAACCGACCCTGCCAACAGCCGGGTTTTGGACTCTAGCCTCCAGAACCAGACAATGTATTTCGCCTAGCTTAAGGGGACTGCTATGGCAGCTCTAGACAACTATCATACCTCACCTATACTCAACATCAAGTCTGTTGAGTTTTGCTTTTTTCTATTTAGTGGAGGAGTCTTGCTCTGTTGCCCAGGCTGGAGTGCACTTGCGCAATCCAGGCTCACTGCAACCTCTGACTCCTGGGTTCCAGCGGTTCTCCTGCCTCAGCCTCCCAAGCAGCTGGGACTACAGGTGACGCCACCCCACCCGCTAATTTTTTGTATTTTTAGTAGCTGTGGGGGTTTCAACATATTGGCCAGGTTGGCCTCAAACTCCTGATCTTGTGATCTGCCCCACCCAAAGTGTCAGGATTACAGGCATGTGCGCTGTGACTGGCTGAAGCATGTATTTAAAAGGCTAAAGCTAAGCAAATGGAAACTAGAGAATTAAGAATCAGAGTTATTTTCATATTTATAGTACATGAAATAAGTCTTATATCCAACAAGCCAATAGATAATGTATTAAAGGTTATGCTTTTAGAGTCAATTTATCACTGACCTTCCTGTTGGAAGCACACTTTAAGAATACCCAATATTCTTAAAATGGTATCACAAAGTGTAGGAGCATCTTAGTGACACCAAATTATAACTGTTTTTGGTGGCCGGGGCGCGGTGGCTCACGCCTATAATCCCAGCACTTTGGGAGGCTGAGGCGGGTGGATGACGAGATCAAGAGATTGAGACCATCCTGGTCAACATGGTGAAACCCCGTCTCTACTAAAAATACAAAAATTAGCTGGGCATGGTGGTGTGTGCCTGTAGTCCTAGCTACTCGGGAGGCTGAGGCAGGAGAATTGCTTGAACCCAGGAGGCGGAGGTTGCGGTGAGCCGAGATCGTGCCATTGCACTCCAGCCTGGGTAACGACAGCGAGACTCCGTCTCAAAAAATAAAAAAATAAAAAAAAAAGATAACTGCTTGTGGTGTTGCAATATTGATTTTAAAATTCCTTCCTAGGCCAGGCGAGGTGTCTCACGCCTGTAATCCCAGCACTTTGGAAAGCCGAGGCAGGCGGATCACAAGGTCAAGAGATAAAGACCATCCTGGCCAACAGGGTGAAACCCCGCCTCTACTGAAATACAACAATTAGCTGGGTGTGGTGGCGTGTGCCTATAGTCCCAGCTACTTGGGAGGATGAGGCAGGAGAATTGCCTGAACCCGGGAGTCAGAGGTTACAGTGAGCTGAGATTACACCACTGCACTCCAGCCTGGCGACAGAGCCAGACAACGTCTCAAAAAATAAAAAATTAAAAAAAAAAATTCCTTCCAAAAAACAATGATCAGTGAGGCATATTTGTCACTGATCATTCTTCTGTTAATAAGGTTATCCCGTTGAAGGACTGCTTTCCATCTTTTTCATTCATTCTGCATGAGTTAGGATGTGGGCTTTCAGGTTACTTGACTGAGTAAACTTCTTCCTACAGCCTTCAAAGGGACACGCAAAACGTTTCTCCCCCGTGTGGATGCGCACATGCGTACGCAAATTGAAATCCAGGGAGAAGCGCTTTCCGCACCCCGCGAAAGTGCACTGAAACGGCCTCTCTCCCGTGTGAACCACGAAATGCCTTTTAAGTTTTGAGCTCTCAGTGAACGCTTTCCCACACTCTGCACAGACGTGGTTTCGGGGCCCGTGAATGACGACATGCTTTCTCAGGGCAGCCAGATCCCTCAACTTTTTGGTGCATCCACTCTGAGGACAAGCAATGGGGTCCAGACCGCCACGTTCCTTATTTACAGGGAGCTTCTTGCTCGCAACTTCTGCGAGCTGTTTAGGATCTGATAAGTCCATGCCAGGTATCCCTCCAGGTGGAAGCTTCTTGCTGGTCGTGTACTCAGAATACTCAAGTGAATTCTCTCCAACAATCTTCTGAGGAAGCTCTTCCTTTACCCCTTTATTTACATATTCTTCCAAAGAACATTCCAGAAGGGAGCTTGCTTCGAAAACCTTTTGAGTAAGCTCCTGTTCGGATTCTTTCTTTAGGTACTGCAAGGACATAAAAAACGTGTCCTCTTCCAGGCTGGGTTGAGAGAACTCACCCCTTACGATGCATTCTATGTAACAGTCCGAGAAATCGTCCTCTCCAGGAGCCCGAAGGCCAGGCTCGGGGCTCAGCCCGTCATCACACATGGCCCACCCCGCGCCGACAGGCTCCGTTTGCGCCTGCAGGTCTTGGCTGGCCCGGCCCTGCCTCGGCTTAAGCCCACTGGCGGTTCTCCCATGCAGCTCTTTCTGGCCCCTTGTCTTGTCCCTTTTCTTCACTTGCTGGCTCATGTTTTCCTGCCTGTGTCCTCCTCGAAGGTTTACACCAGGATCCAGGTAGTAGCGATCTGGGCAAGCTGTCTTCAGCAAACACCTGCTTTATGATAATAACCTTCAGTTAAAATAGATTCCAGCATCAGAGCCACTGTCAAAAACTGACCTCGAACATGTTTTCCAGTAATACAACAGCTACATTCCCATCTTCTCCGATAGACTAACCAAGAGACAGAGAATGAGCTCTTGTGTAAGACCTGAGTCATAAACAGATCTTATCTGGGTGTCCCCGCAAGTGACAGGAATTCTCTCCAACCATTTTGCTCACCTGACACGTACTGCGTGGAACTATGTGCTGGCTCTACTTTAGGCTACACAGTTTGTGATCCATCAGCAAGCAGGCAAACGTCTACGCCTCCACGGGGCAGACGTACTCATGACCACCGAAAATACATAAGCAACGTATGCCGCGCGGTACAAGGTGACTACGTGCAAAAGAGGTACAAGGTGACTACTTTCCTAGCAGGGGCTGGTAGGAAACAGAAGCCTGCCCTAGTAAACAGGGCACTCAGGCAAACCTTCACTGAGGTGGTTAGTGGCAGCTGGTTAAAAGCCTGACGGTGGGTGAGGCAGCAAGTCTTGTTTTCTTATGTAACGCGGTCATGAAATTCACATTAAATAATGCACGTAAGGTGCTTAGCACAGATCAGGGGGCACAGCGAATGCCGACTGCTATGTGAGCTTGTGTTATTTCATTACTTTTTTATTCATTCTATACGCATATGTTGGATCCTGCTACGTGCCAGTTTCTTTCTAGATCAGGGTGGTAAACTTTTTCTGTCAAGGGCCAGATTTTAGCTTTCTGGGTCCTGTGGTGTCTGGTGAAATTATTCAGCTTTGTCAGTGCAGTGCAGAAGGCGTCAGGTAACACACGAGGAATGAGGCTGGCTTTGCTCCAATAAAACAGGGAGACAGGCCCATGGGTCGCTGTGTGTCCACTGATTGTTCTGGAAGATGGGGATCCACAGAATAAGACACATGAAATTCATGGTACTCCAGCCTTTTAGGAATTCATGCCAAAATAAAGGCACAGGGTGGCTTGGCCCTGAAGAGTTTCCCATCATTTCCTTAAAAACCTAACAGCAGGCTGGGCACGGTGGCGCACGCCTATAAGCCCAGCACTTTGAGAGGCCAAGGCAGGTGGATCGAGGTCAGGAGATTGAGGCCATCCTGGCTAACATGGTGAAACCCCATCTCTACTAAAAATACAAAAAGTTAGCTGGGCGTAGTGGCATGCGCCCGTAGTCTCAGCTACTTGGGAGGCCGAGGCAGGAGAATCACTCGAACCCAGGAGGCAGAGGTTGCAATGAGACAAGATCCTGGCACTACACTACGGCCTGTGCGACAGAGCTTGACTCAGTCTCAAAAAAAAAAAAGAAAAAAAAAAATCTAACAGCAACATTATAAAAGTTATAGCATGAATATGTTATTGCTTCTATTATAAAAGTTTCTTGCTTAATGTTATAATTGTGTGCCTGATAAAAGACCTCCCTATTTATTGTCCCGATGTCTTTCTGTAGGAAGAAAAATTATATGCTTTTAAAAAAGAGGAAAAAGTTGTGGGATGAAAATTAACAGCTTGAAAATACTTTTAAAAAGCCACATTAAAAAAACAACACCTACACAGAAGCATGCCATTTACTTTTGGTAAAAAACAAATATATAGAATAAAAATGAAATGTGTTTCAACTGCAAGGGAAGGGCTTAAGATTTCTTAAAATGTATTAAAAATATGTAATACATATATGTGAAATGCTACCAATGTTAGTATTTTTTGTGTCCTTTTTTTTTTTGAGATGGAGTTTCGCTCTTGTCGCCCAGGCTGGAGTATGTACAGTGGTGCAATCTCAGCTCACTGCAAGCTCCTGGGTTCAGGTGATTCTCCTGCCTCAGCCTCCTGAGTAGCTGGGATTACAGACAGCTGCCCACCACCATGCCCAGCTAATTTCTATATTTTTTAGTAGAGATGGGATTTCACCATGTTGGCCAGGCTGGTCTCGAACTTTTGACCTCAAGTATCTGCCCGCCTCGGCTTCCCAAAGTGCTGGGATTACAGGTGTGACCCGGGCCTGTGTCCTTCAAAAAGGTGAAATTAGGGCTGGGTACGGTAGCTCATGCCTGCCAGCACTTTAAGAGCACGAGGGTAGCGGATCTGGCCAACATGGCGAAACTCTGTCTCTACTAAAAATACAAGAAATTAACCGGTGACACACACCTGTAATCCCAGCTACTTGGAGGCTGAGGCTGCAGTGAGCCAGGACTGCACCACTGCACTCCAGCCTGGACGATAAGAGTGAGACTCTGTCTCAAAAACAAACAAAAAATAGCAATACAAAATACAATAAAAAGGTGAAATTAGCTAGGGAGATCCCAAAATATTTATGGAGCAGAATCCTAGCAGCCCTGGAGAGTAATTACTAGGATGAAACACGAAGCTGCTCTGCCCAGTGAGTCCGTTTAACACACAGCCTGTGCACGCCAGCTCTGCAATGCTCAGTGTGAAAGCTTTTCAGTGCCCTCGTGACACTTACAGAAAATGCTTATTGGAGCATTTTGGAATTTGAATTTTTAGACTTCGGATGCTCACATGGGGTATTTTGCAAATATTCAAACAGTGAAAAAAAGTCTGACATCCATAATACTTCTGGTCCCAAGCATTTTGGATAAATAATACTAAACCTGTAACGGCAATGTAACTGACTCCCGGCTCTCTCCAACCTCACCTCTTGCCATCTCTAGCTCTTGTATTTCATTATTCAGCCATAATAAACTTTTTCCAATAAATCGTGGAATCGGTCTACTGCAAATTCTCTTTTTTTTTTCTCACTAAAACACTGCCCACCCTTCAACATGCAGAGGCTTCTCTCCCATCCATACTGAGATGCCCAGACCTCACCTCCTCAGGCAGACTTCTCCGGATTCTTAGGCTCGGTTGAGTTCCAAGCTAACTGTCCCCCCAGATCCCTATTTTACACGGATCAGACCACTGGCACCCCTCACTTCAAGTCTGTCTTACCTGCTAGACTGTAAGCTCTACAGGAGCTAAGTCTTCTGTCTTGTACATACAGGTTCCAGCGCTCAGTACATTTGTCTAGTGAGATGAAATCAGGAGTATGCATTAGTCACTGTGCTGTTGATCTGATTTCACAGCCCTATACAATTACTTTACTAGGAATTTATTTGAGAGTTTAGGCAACTTAATGTAGAAGTTTCAAGAGCTGGCTGTTAACGATGAGAGGTGTTATATAGAAAGGAATTCCAAAGGCCAGGCGTGGTGGCTCATGCCTGTAACCCCAACACTTTAGGAGGCTGAGGTGGGTGGATCCCTTGAGCCCAGGGGTTGGAGACCAGCCTAGGCAAAATGGCAAAACCTCATCTCTACAAAAATGAGTCTAATCAGACTACAGCTGCACTTCAGCTCAGCGATGGTTAGGTCTGAATTCCCAAGGGAGGCAGTGGGCGGATGGGCTTGCACAGCTGGTCCCAGCTACTCAGGAGGCCGAGGTGGGAGGACCCGTGGAACCTGGAAGGCAGGGGTCGCGGTGAGCCGAGAACACACCACTGCACTCCAACCTGGGTGACAGAGTGAGATCTTGTCTTAGAAAAAAAATAAAGGTGCCTCCTAAGAGAGGTGTTTTCTTTATGAATTTACCAAGTTTCAAATATGGTCCTTACCTTTCTTTCTTTTTTTTCTGAGAGGGAGTTTCACTCTTGCTGCTTAGGCTAGAGTGCAATGGCGCAATCCCGGCTCAAGCTATTCTCCTACCCCAGCCTCCAGAGTAGCTGGAATTACAGGCATGAGCCACCACGCCCAGCTAACTTTGTATTTTTAGTAGAGATGGGGTTTCCCCATGTTGGCCAGGCTGGTCTCCAACTCCCAACCTCAGGTGATCTGCTTGCCATGGCCTCCGAAAGTGCTGGGATCACAGGCGTGAGCCACCGCTCCGGGGTGGTCCTTACCTTTCTAAGCTAAATTCTTGTCAGATCTCCGAGCATTATGCTATTTCTCATAGCAATATACAAGCTTGGAAGGATGACATATAAAATTAACATGGTAATTGACTATAAGAAAACTGTTTATATGGCAAGCAAATTTCTCTTCGCAGAAACAACTAGTTATGCTTCACTCAAGACAGTGATTCTGTTCTGAGAAATATATCTTTAGGTTGCTGTGTCGTCAGAGTCTACGCAGACCTAAACGGCACCGCCTGCAGCACACCCAGGTGACATGTTTGAGGCTCTAAATGTGCACAGCATGTTACAGCTGTGAGTATGGCAGGAACTGTGACACGACAGTACTTGTGCATAGAAACATATCTAACCATAGAAAATACCGTAAAAAAGATGAAAAACGGAGCTCACAGGACTGGCAGTGGCTCTAGGTGACAGAGGGGTGAGTGAACGTGAAGGCCTGGGACCCCCCTGTACGCAGCTGTGGGCTTTGTAAGCACTGCACACATAGGCATATTTTAAAACTTATTAAAAAATTTGTCTTTTGGGCCGGGCGCGGTGGCTCACGCCTGTAATCCCAGCACTTTGGGAGGCCGAGGTGGGTGGATCACGAGGTCAAGAGATCGAGACCATCCTGGTCAACATGCTGAAACCCCGTCTCTACTAAAATACAAAAATTAGCCCGGCATGGTGGCGTGTGCCTGTAGTCCCAGCTACTCAGGAGGCTGAGGCAGGAGAATTGCCTGAACCCAGGAGGCGGAGGTTGCGGTGAGCCGAGATCGCGCCATTGCACTCCAGCCTGGGTAACAAGAGCGAAACTCCGTCTCAAAAAAAAAAAAAAAGTCTTTTTTGAATAATAAATTAGCTTTACCTACTACAACATTTTAACTTTATTTTTTTAGTTTTGAGAGTTTGCTCTGGTTGCCCAGGCTGTGCACAATGGGATGATCTCGGCTCACAGCAACCTCAGCCTCCTGAGTAGCTGGGACAAGGGGCATGTGCCACCATGCCCGGCTAAGCTTGTATTTTTAGTAGAGACGGGTTTCTCTACGTTGCCTCGGCTGATCTCGAACTCCTAACCTCAGGAACTCCGCCCGCCTCAGCTTCCCAAAGTGCTGGGATTACAGGCGTGAGCCACGGTGCCCTGCCTGTTTTTAACCTTATACAGGTTTAAAGTTTGTAGCTGGGCGGTGGCTTATACCTGTAATCCCAGCACTTTGGGAGGCAGAGGTGGGGGGGTGGATCACTCGAGGTCAGGAGTTCGAGACCAGTCTGGCCAACATGGGGAAACCCCAGCTTAAAAGAAAAAGTTTGTAAACATTCTCTTTTGTAGTAACACGTAGCTTAAAACACATTTTTTTCAAATGTACAAAAATATTTTTTCTTTATATTATCATTCTATAAGATTTTGTCTTTGTAATTTTTTTTTTTTTAGCTTTTAAAAACTTTTACGTTAAAAACTTTAGATACAAACACACACATGAGCCTACGCCTACATAAATTCACGACCATCAAGATATGATCCCAGCACTTTGGGAGGCTTCTGACGTCAAGAGTTTGAGACCAGCGTGGCCAGTATGGTGAAACTCCGTTTCTACTAAAAATATAAAAATCAGCGGGCCATAGTGGCGCATGCCTGTAATTCCAGCTACTCAGGAGGCTGAGGCAGGAGAATGGCTTCAACACTGAAGGTGGAGGTTGCAGTGAGTTGAGATCAGGCTACTGGACTCCCCGTCTCAAAAAAAAAAGTCACTAGGCCACAGGAATTTTTCAGCTTTTATAATCTCATGGGACCACCGTAGTATACGGGGTTGCCCATGCACTGAAACGTCCTTATATGGAACTTGACTGTACATGGAAAACACACGGTAAACAGCGGATGTGGACAAAAGCTTACATAGCTTGCTGTGGGACTGACAGTAAAGGGTAAATAAAACATTTCAGATTGAGAAAGATGCTAAGAACAAACAAACAAACAAACAAAAAAAAAAAAGAGTATGAAAGGGCAAGTAGTGGGGACGACACTTGGGCATGAATGTCTGGAAAAGGCCCCCAAAGGGGGGGACATCGGAGCCAGATGTGGGCAGGAGGAAAAGTGCCTGGCGCGGGAAGAGACGAGCGAAGGCCGCCGCCGGTTCCAGGCTGCGGGGAAGGAGGCGCTCCAGGCTCCCACCGGTGTGGCCCGCAGGAAGGTGGCGGCTGGGACCAGGCCCGGGGGCGGGGCTGACCGTGCGCCGCGGGACCCTTTGCATTCCATTCCAAGACCCAGGGAAGCCATTACAGGGTTTCCAACCCGCAAACACTACGCTTTCTTAGGTTAGAAGATGCGCCGGGCCGCTGCCCGGAGAATGACCGGATTTGGGAAGAAGAGAAAAACCCTATTAGATTTAGGAATCCCGGGAAGGGCCCCAGTGGTTTGGAGCAGGTGGTGGCAGAGATGAAACGCAGGGAGGACGGGAAGGAAACGGGAATCAAAAATGAATTTCGCAGGGCGCGGTGGCTCCCGCCTGTAATCCCAGCACTTTGGGAGGTCGAGGCGGGCGGATCACCTGAAGTCAGGAGTTCGAGACCACCCAGACCAACATAGTGAAACCCCCGTCTCTACTCAAATACAACAAATAGTCGGACGTAGTGGTGCACGCCTGTAATCTCAGCTATTCGGAGGCTGATGCAGGAGAATCACTCGAACCTGGGAGGCGGAGGTTGCAGTGGGCCGAGATCGCGCCACTGCACTCCAGCCTGGGAGACAGAGGAGACTCCGTCTTCAAAACGAAACCAAACCAAAAAACGCGAGTGTCCTAGGTTTTTTGCTAGAGCAATTTGGGTGGAGGGTATTGCCCTTTCCAGAGGTAAGTGGAGAGGAAAAGAAAGGGAAAATCCTGGTGTCTTGATCACAGTGTAAGCATGTCACTATGAAAGAGACCTACGCATATATCGTAAACAAATATATTTAGCGCGGCGCGGTGGCTCACGCCTGTAATCCCAGCACTTTGGGAGGCCGAGGCGGGTGGATCACGAGGTCAGGAGTTCAAGACCAGCCTGTCCAAGATGGTGCAACTCGTCTCTACTAAAAAAATTTAGCCAGGCGTGGTGGCAGGTGCCTGTAGTCCCAGTTACTCCGGAGGCTGAGGCAGAGAATTGCTTGAACCCGGAGGCGAGGGTTGCAGTGAGCTGAGATCCCGCCACTGCACTCCAGCCTGGGTGACAACAGCGAGACTCCGTCTTAAAATATGTATATATATTTAAAAATGTATATATGTATTTAAAAAATGCAACTAGATTTCCTAAGTTGCATTTTTAATTTTGTTTCAAAACTTCATGCAAGTATGCAAAATAAAAAATGCAGTTTAGGAAATCTCCGCCAGACCCTCGCTTTCTGGAGAGCTATTACCTCCCCCGTCCGCCCGTTTTCAAAGTTTGAGGCCAGAGACCCACGACAGCCACGGGCCACCGCAGGGCGACGCCTAGAAGTCCTCGGGCGAGGCCGGCTCCGCCCTGGCTCCAGGATGCCAACGGCGCATCCCCTCCGTGACCTTCCAACCCTGGGGACCAGCGCGTCCTAAGTGGTGAACAACGCATCCCCCTTCTCCCCACTGGGGAAAAGTCCGTGAAACAAGACTCACCCGTGAGACCGCCAAGCACTGCTAGTCTCGACGCCACCTCTTCCCAAACGGAGACAAAGGAGAGCGCAGTGGAAACGTGCGCTGCCCTGCGCCCCTCCCCAGACCCACCTCCCGCCTGACGCGGCCTAATCCGGCTACACCTACTCAGCCCCGCCGGGGTAGGGAGGGCGTGGCCCGCCCCGCCTTGGGAGCCGCCCGGGAGCCACTCGGCCTCTGCTCCCGGCACCTGGGCGGCGCGCCCACCTTTATCCCGGGGCCCCCGGCACCCGGCCCGCGCCTTCTCCCTTCAGCCCGGGCCCCCGGCCCCCGCGTTCTCCCCTCAGCCCGGCCCCCCGGGCCCCCTTCCCCACGCGTTCCCCCCTCAGCCCGGCCGCGGGGCGCTGCGCCTAAGCCACGTGGAGCCTCCTGCGCCCGGACGCCCGGCATTAGCACGTGGTGAGTTCTCAATACAAGTCTGTGGAACAATCACGTTTACGCTTTTAGGCCGGGCGCGGTGGCTCACGCCTGTAATTCCAGCACTTTGGGGGGCCGAGGTGGGCGGATCACATGGGTCAGGAGTTCGAGACCAGCCTGGCCAACGTGGCGAAACCCCGTGTCTACTAAAAATACAACAATTAACCGGGGGTGGGGGTTCGAGCCTGTAGTCTCAACTACTCGGGAGGCTGAGGCAGGAGAATCGCTTGAACCCGGGAGGAGGAGGTTGCAGTGAGCCGAGATCGCGCCATTGCACTCCAGCCTGGGTGACAGAGCCAGACTCCGTCTCAATAAAAAGCAAGACCAAACATTTCTGCTTCCGCAGGTTGGGGAAGTGAAAATCAATCGGAGGAGGCAGTTTTTACCCCTGGAAATAGAGGTTGACTCGAACGTCCACCACCGCGCCGTCCTCCCAGTTGCAGATAAAATATGACTGCGTTTTGTTTTCTTTTTCCTGTTTCTGGCTGTTAATGTGGCTCTACTGCTAAAGGCAATACAACTCACCTTGAAAACAGCGGTCAGTCCACGCTCACCGTTGTCTACAGTGAAATGCAGTAGTTTGCGTAAGTAACACTTGAACAAAACCCAAATCGGTGTTTAAAAACCTCCAGCCCTTTGGGAGGCCGAGGCGGGTGGATCAGGAGGTCAGGATATCGAGACCATCCTGACCAACATGGTGAAACTCCGTCTCTACTAAAAATGCAAAAATTTCATCCCAGCTACTCGGGAGGCTGAGGCAGGACAATCGCTTGAACCTGGGAGGAGGAGGTTGCCCTGAGCCGAGATTGCGCCACTGCACTCCAGCCTGGCTGACAGAGGGAGACTCGGTCTCAAAAAAAACAAAAACAAAAAAAAAACAGAACAAAACAAAACAACAACAAAAACCTCCCAAACGTTGACTTGAAGCTCTTCTGCGTATGTACCTGGGAGCAGTTCTCCATTTTTTTTTTAAGTCTGTTTCTGAATAAGCTTCAATTCTGAGGTTTGGCAATAAGAGATAATTTTCAGTGAAGGAAATATTTATTATTCCCTGATCTCCAGTAGGCACAGTAGGGCCCCTCCATTTGAAATCCGATTGTAATAAAGCTTCCTTGGTTCCTTACCTTACAAGGCGGGCTTACCAGTCAAACGGCTTCTGGCCTATCTCTACCTTGTCTTGCTGTGTGTGGTCTCTTTGAAACTACAGAGGCACATTCTCAGGTCAGGTTTCCAGCAGCCATTTTTTTCCCTTGGAGATAAAAATGTTAACATTTGGGTTTTCAATAAGAAATACTTCAATAACTGAGAAATGTTGAACAGAGCCTCCTCTCTAAGCCTCTAAGTGTCAATGTCATCGAAAGCCCCGTTTCCTTACTGCATGAAACACACAGTTGAAGCAGAGGATCCTTTCTCTGGGCTACAGAAACCCACCCTTCATCACTCCCTTTACGATTCGCACAGTGCATCCCATAACCTGGATCCCCTCCCCAACCACTGATCCCATCTGGTCACTGGGGTGTGGCTCTGGGAATCAGCATGTTTAGAAACCTAATTCTCCATTTCACACCGCACCTCTTACATGGATTATTTTTGCTCCCATTATCCTTCAGCTTTCCTTTCCACAGCCCTGAAGAAGTAAACCAGAATGAATGAACTCATCTGTTGTGACATGAACTCAGCTAAAAGGAAGTTTAATTTCTCCTAAAAGAGCTAGAGAACCAATTAAACTGAAGTAAAAGTGGGCTGTCTTTTGAAATTGACCACAAAGAGGGTGGTGCATAGAAACAACGTTTTGGATTGCCGGAATTTTAGTCATAGTGATTCTTCTGCCAATAGCATCATGGCCATTAAAAAAAAATTGTATTTTGACAATGTTATCTGTCTTACAAATCAATATTTTCCTTAAAACCCTTAAAATGCAAACACCATAAATACACATTAATTCAGTCTACACAGATTTGTACTTCTCCCCTAGACAGGTGGGCGGAGGTTCTGGGCCCCGGTGGATAAGTATTCTTGCCTCGTGGGGTTTGAATGCGGAATGGACGGGTCAGAACAGCAGGGTAAGAACTAGATTGAGGTGAGTAACTCACTGGTCTGCAGCAAATTTAAGGGGTGCGAACCCCCCAGGTAATCAGTGTTAGTAACATTTTAACATGGCATGTAAACGAATCAAAATTAATGCAAAAATTTGTGGTGAACAAAATAGTTACATGTTGGATAAAGGCAGAGTCAGAGGATACCAGCCAAATAATCATGTTTGTAAAAGTCACAATGCAGCTATGATGAGCACAATGAAGGACAGGTGTGTGGTACTCTGAGCGCTGGAATTTAGGGAAGTTTCCCCTGATCTGCAGGAATCAGCCTGGAGGTCAGAGCCTCCCTGACAGGAGAGAGGATTCTTGGGGAACGACCTGAGGGGTGAGTGGAGGGGAGTGTGAAGAGGCCCTGCAGGCCCAGACTCGGACCCAGTAGGTCTGGGAAGAACTTAGATCTTCAGTCCAGGAGCCCTGGGAATGGAATATTGTAAGAAAACATGCCTTATCTATAAATGCTTGTTAACCTTAAACTTGTAAAACATTTCATTATTAGAGCTTCAGTTTATCTCTATTTAATTTAGCTGATTTTTTTTTTTTTTTGAGACGGAGTTTCCCTCTTGTTACCCAGGCTGGAGTGCAATGGCTCGGTCTCGGCTCACCGCAACCTCCGCCTCCTGGGTTCAGGCAGTTCTCCTGCCTCAGCCTCCTGAGTAGCTGGGACTACAGGCATGTGCCACCATGCCCAGCTAATTTTCATATTTTTAGTAGAGACGGGGTTTCACCATATTGACCAGGATGGTCTCGATCTCTTGACCTCGTGATCCACCCGCCTCGGCCTCCCAAAGTGCTGGGATGACAGGCGTGAGACACTGCGCCCAGCTGCTAATATTAATTGAATACATGCATAGTCTCATTTAATCTTGAAGTCTAATTTACAAAATGGTTATTTTTGGTATTATTATAATGTCACTTGCATTTAAAAATAACCCTGAGGCACCAAGAAACTTCACACACGCTTAAGTGTCTAAATTCGGATTAGAACCCAAATGTTGGCTGGGGCTGGTGGCTCACACCTGTAATCCTAACACTTTGGGAGGCCCAGGTGGGCGGATTGCCTAAACTCAGGAGCTGGAGCCCAGCCTGGGCAACATGGTGAAACCCCACCTCTACTAAAATAAATAAAATAAAGTAAATAATTTAAAAAGCCGGACATGGTGTCAGGCGCTGTACTCCCAGCTCCTCAGGAAAGTGAGGCAGGAGAATTGCTTCAACCCAGGAGGTGGAGGTTGCAGTGAGTGGAGATCACGCCACTGCATGCACTCCAGCCTGGGCAACAGAGCTCAACTCCATCTCTAAAAACAAACAAAGGAACAAAAAACCAGCAACGACAGAAGAACCCAAGTATTCTGACTTTGAGATGTGTCATTCTGGTCTAATACAGCATTTTACATTAGGGTATTCTGCCAACCCTGTGGTTGTATTTTTCATTTAAAAACTCTCTCCCATTATTATTTGCTGTGATGTATAATGCCTTTTTACGGACCTGTTTGACCCTGATAGCACCTTATGAGCTGTTATTATCCATTTTATGGACGAGGAAATGAGAAGGCAGGAGTGACAAATGCCTTGCTCAAAGCCCTATAGGTATTAGTTTGAGGAGCAGAGTTTAGAACCCAAATCTTGCTTTCCTGACACAAAAGGTAAAGGTAAAGCTAATTTTCCAAGTTCAGTCAATTGTTTAAAGAGCTTGTTGTTAAGTGTATTTTTAGAGTTTCTGTGAGTAAAAGAATAACCCAGCAGTCAGTAATGTATTTTCTACTTGGAATCTGATGTCTTAGTATGGTATGATTTTTAAAAGGCATATTTAACTCTATTTTAAAAGATCAGTCTAGGTAGAATCTAAAATCTAAATGGAAGTTCTTTGTTACTTCACACTGAGAAGAATGAGACTTGTCATCATACTGTTGTGTATTTTCACAAACTTGTGCTCCTTAGATAAAGCCGTGACCATGTAAATATCGTCTTATTTCATTGTGAGAATTCAGCAGTGGGTCTAGGTATAGCTCCGAAAGGCTAATTTTTAGACCCCAGCTTCTCCTCAGGCTTTAGCAATGATGTGTTCATGCTATTTTTTGGCAGTTTCATAAGATTTTTTCTCTTTTTTTTTTGAGATGGAGTTTCACTCTGGAGTGCAACGGCACCATCTTGGCTCATTGCAACCTCCACCTCCCAGGTTCAAGTGATTCTCCTGCCTCAGCCTCCCAAGTAGCTGGGATTACAGGCGTGCCACCACGCCGACTAATTTTGTATTTTTAGTAGAAACCAGGTTTCTCCATGTTGGTCAGGCTGGTCTTGATCTCACGGCCTCAGATGATGAGCCACCTGGGCCTCCCAAAGTGCTGGGATTACAGGTGTGAGCCACCGCGCCCGGCCACAGTTTTTTCTTCTTTTTAAGAATGGACTGTTGCTGTGGTTCACATGTTTGTGTCCCTGCAAAAGTCATGGATTGAAACCAACCCGATGTGATGGTGTCAAGAGGTGTGGCGTTTGGGAAGCAGTTAGGTCACAAGGGCTCTGCCCTGGTGAATGGAATTGGTGTCCTTGTAAAGGAGGCAGGGG